AGAGGGAGAAGCAGACTCCCTGCCGAGCAGGGAGCCCGATGCGGGACTCGATCCTGGGACTCCAGGATCATGACCTGAGCCGAAGGCAGCCGCTTAACCAACTGAGCCACCCAGGCGCCCCACCCCGACACTTTCTTAATAGTTATTAAACATTAGTGACAAACAAACATTTTAGTAAGAAGCCATCGTCCTAGAAGGGCAGTTATATCAAAGGCACTAGGCTAATGCATCCTCCTGGGAAAATTAGATCTAAAGCAGATTCTACCCAATTATGAGCGTTTATCTCAATGAACTAAAAATGACGTTTGTTCTTCATTTCAAATCAGGTTTAACCACACTGAAAGAGGGACTTCTGGAGGCACTTAGAGTAATTATTTTGGGAACATGTCTTTGATTAACATTTGTTTTGTTTCCTTGTAATGCCTCTCATTTTGGTTCACTCTCATTTCATGGGCACTACTGCCCTCTACCGATGGAAAATTAAGGCATTCTTAGGTTTGCTTTCTGTTTCTGCAGTTGAGTGACCTACATTCACTCCCGAAAATGGAAAACTAAGTGATTGGTTTCTCCTCTGGCCTCTCAAAAATTAGTATTCTGTGTTCGCCATGCTTTTACTCTAATTACATTTTTGGGTATTTTTGTTCAGAACATGCCTAAAAATCTCAAAGACTAAGATTTCTCATTATATATGCCCCACTTCTTAAACCAACACAGAATAGATACACAGAAGTACTTCATTGCAGTCTGTTTCTTTAAAAATGGTTGAAACAGTTGGTATATGGTAGAAAGGATTTAGAACTTACAGTCAAGCCCTAGTTCATATCTTTCCCTATCATAACTTCTCTGAATCTCATCTGAAATTGTAACCAGTCATCTCAACATGGCAAGGTACTTGGCACAGTGTAGGTGTGTGGTAAATATTTGTCAAGGTTTGGGGTTTTTTTTAAGGATTAGTAAGTAATATCATGAGGGATAAAGGATAGAAAACAGAAACAGAGGAAGGAAAATTAATTTTTCCAATCAACTGAAGAATTACTGAGTTCTAATATCAACAATTTTGAGATTAGACCATGTGTTTTTAACAAAGCCTGTATATTAAAGGGGCAGAATACTGTGTGAGGTCCAGATAAAATCTGGAAATTTTCTGAAGAAAACAGAATAAGGCATTTCAAAAGATATTTTTTAATGAATATGGAATTAGCAGAATTTTTGAAAAACTTGGAATCAAACCTTGAATCCCTGACACCATTGAATATGAAAAAATATTGTAGAAAAATAAAATGTTGATGTCCCAAATGTTGATGAAACATATGGCTCTTTTCCTAAATTACCCATGGAAACACTTTACATTGTGTTTTAAAACAAAAGAAAAATATGAGTTCCATAGTATAGTGTATCATAGTATTTTACCAATGACAAAATTTTTTCAAGCTCTTTTGTTATAAAAGAAATAATATATTTACAGAGGATAATACAAAATGAATAAATCAAGTCCCACATTCATATATACATATAAACAGTTACCTTCCCCATGAAAACTTCTGCATATATTTTATCTTTCTATCCAGTTTTTGTTCATTGCATAGTAGAATAAAAATTTTTGAGCCATTAATTAATAGCGGTAACAGGAATCCCATTAGAAGAAATATTCCCTTGTAAGTGTGATGTGCTGCCTTTTCAAAATTATTTCAGTGAGGCATTGTATGAGATGGGAAATTATACAAGCATATGCCGCTCTGAACTGTGTTGCTAAGTTTCCTAGATATGATATCCAAATCCCATGACTTCAGTTCCTGTTGCAAGAGATGTGACTATTCACTAAAACATCCAAGTCAGCCACACATTCATCAGACTTGGGCATCTTTCCAATTAGAGTTGATTCAGACTCTCCTATAGGTCACTGGAAAATGTGGTCAGCGAGGGACTATGTATTAATCCTTTGGGAATAACTGTGTTACTTTAAAATCTTGGCCAAGTCTTCCAGCAATTGGAGGCAAAGCTCCTTCTCAGTCTTCAGAAGTGTTTTTGTTCAAGTGTCACCTCCTCAGAGAAGCCTTCCCAGATCACCCTATAAAAGAAATATCTTGGACACTTCCCATCCCTTTCTTTATTTTTTAAATATATGCATCACCTTACTAGACTGTAGGTTCCATAAGGGCAGTGAGTTTGGTTCTTCCCACTGCTGAGGAGGAAGCTCAGTCTGGTGCCTAGGCACCTAGCACAGTCGTGGGCACTTGGTTAGTAATTATTGAATGAGGGACGCCTGGGTGGCTCAGTCAGTTAAGAGGACCTGCCTTCCTCTCAGGTCATGATCCCAGGGTCCTGGGATCCAGCCCCACATCGGGCTCCTTGCTCAGCGGGGAGTCTGCTTCTCCCTCTGCCTGCCGCTCCCCCTGCTTGTGCTCTGTCTCTCTCTCTGTCTCTGACAAATATGCCTTTTCATCCCAGGGAAGAAATAACCCTCTGTGTGCACACCATTTGCTTGGCAGGTGAGAGACTCTGCTCAGTCGTTCCTGACCGTCCACGTGCCTCTCTATGTGTCCTACATCTACGTGACAGCCCCCAGGGGCTGGGCCTCTTTGGAGCACCACACTGAAATGGAGTTTTCCTTCTTCTATGACACTGTTCTCTGGAGAACAGGTATACCCATTGACATCTTAACTCTCCCTACCTTATGTTCAAGCAAGATGAAAACAAAGTAATAAGTAGTGACTTTTAACAGGAGCTCCAGTCTTCATCCCATTGTCCTATATACAGTCAAAAGGAGGGCTGCCCCTCTAGGCCAAATGAATAAAGCGAACCAGGTTGCTGTTGATATATCTTTCCTTTTCCAGGCACCTGATTCGAAGACCCTTTTGCTCCTTAAACGCCGTGAATCACACTATTTTTAACTAGGAGCGAATGAACATGATCATACTCCAGAAGGATACCTCTGAACCCCTAGTGGGCAGTATAGGAACCCATCTGTCACTCGCTATCCTCTACTCTGGGTCTAGCTATCTGGATTGAGTTTTCCATCCCTGGAGGCCTTCCAGCATCAGCATATATGGACATGGTTCTTTTCAGGAACCACAGATCTATATATTGGTGACAGCCCCTCAGCTGGGAGCTCACACCTTCCTCCTGTCTTCCCCAAGCCACCTTTTCCCACTGCTACCTTATGATGCCCCAAACTCGTCTCCCCCTTCTGCTGCTCCTTTTCTCCCTCTTGGCCTCCCTGGAGGGGATTTACTTGATCTGAGCTACTAAACAGCTACAGGAATGTTCATTAGATAGGGCTTCATCTCTAGAAATGGAAAATACAGTCTTTTCTTCTGTTGAGGGCTTTGAACTCAAATCATTTGTTTTATATTTCTCATAGGAAAATAACTTCAGGAAGTTTTCACACTCTGGGTCAGATAATTTCTCGAGCTTTGGGGTTCTTTTTAAAATGTTGTTTTTTCCCCTCCTTTGGTTACCCTTTAGTTTTGGGTCATACGGAACTCACTGGGCATCATGATTGTAATTACCCCTACGAAAGCCATGGTTTATTCCTGTCATGCCATATATGGCTGGCCTTCTACAAGCTAATCTTGAATCATCCATTGGTTTGAATATTAAATGTAGCCACCAGGACATTGCTTATGGTTCTGTTGAGTCACGAAAGCAGTCCTTGTGAGGAAAAGCAAATGGAGTCTGAAGCAGATGCACTATAATCACATCCTGGTGTAAAGTTGATGTAAGAAGTTTAAGTAAGACCAATTTTTTTTTGAGCTATGGGCTAGGGCCCTGACTCTGGGCTCAGTGGCATTTTCAGGTATGAAGAAACTATGCCAAGGAGAAAAAACAAAACCAAGTAGAATGAATTGGTAAATGTGTCTAAATAGATTCTATGTTCATATGAATATGCAAATTTTTCTTAACTTACATTCAAATTACTGTGCAGCTCTACTTAGAGGTATCACTGGGACAACTCACATGTAGTTTACTCTCTGGGAGATCTCATTCCCTAACTTGGATGTTTTGTGTATGATCGCCTGCCCAGGAATCCAGACAGACAGCGTGCTCTCTGCAAGGCTTCAGATAATAAGAATCTACATTCGAGAGGATGGCCGTCTTGTCATTGAATTCAAGACCCATGCCAAATTCAGAGGTAATATCAGTGCAGTTTTTCCTCCAGTTTTTCTTATTAAAAAACATTACAGGGGCGCCTGGGTGGCTCATTTGGTTAAGCGTCTGCCTTCAGCTCAGGTCGTGATCCCAGGGCCCTGGGATTGAGCCCCACGTCGGGCTCCCTGCTCAGCAGAGAGTCTGCTAACCCCTCTCCCTCTACTCCTCCCACCTATGCCTGCTTTCTCACTCTCTCTCTCTCAAATAAAGAAAATCTTAAAAAAAAAAAAAACAACATTACAAACATAGACAAAAGGCAAAAGAATAGAACAGTGAAAAACAATTGTTAACATTTTGCTATATATGTATGCATCCATACACACATGCATACCCATTTTTTGGTACCACATTTGAAAACAAGTTGCAGACTTCATGTCAAGTTACCCTAAATACTTCCCTAGACATCTCTTGAGAGCAAAGACATTCTCTTACACATCACAGTGGTGTCACTACATCCAAGATATTTAAGATTGATCCAATAATATCTAGTTCCTATTCATATTCTGTTGTCCTCTATTGTCCTACAGATGTCTTTTCCATTTGTTTTTATATTGTTTTATATTTATTTTATATCTGTTTATGTAAAGGGAACGTGGATCCAATCAATATTTACATATTACATTCTGGCTGTTACATTAGTCTCTCAGTCTAGAAGTCTCTCTACTTTTATTTATTCATGACACTATATGACTGCATTTTTATTTATTTTTTTTTAAAGATTTTATTTATTTATTTGACAGAGAGA